TGGGGAGGGGGAAGATATAAATATTTTTTAGGGTTTGATATTTTATATTTAGCCGAGGACAATAAGCAATTATTTAAACAATACAGAACATTGAGCAGCAGGGTCCAATCAGGGTATTCTCACTAAACAACAGAATTTGATTAAATCAACTTTTAGGAAAGATAAGAAAAATTTATGGAATTATTAACGGGGGGGGGATATGATAGTATCAAGGTGCAAAGATAAAAGTAAAGGGTTATATATTTAGATTTGGTTGTTTAACTAGGCGTATTACAGGCATTATACGCAGTGCAGGGCAATATTTGAAGAATTTTTGGAAAATTAATTTGATAATATTATGTTGAAGAACCATGGCTGGATTGAATGAAGTAAACTATAAGTAGAACAAATCCATACTAAAGCACTTCTTAAAAAAATGTCAGCATTTTAGAAAAAAAATCTTTCAATTCGTTGGGTTTTTTTTCTAGTTGTTTATTAAACCTGGAGAAATGGCCGGATGGAACGTCCTGTTGTTGATGGGGGTCGAAGCGTGGGAAGGTTTAAAGAGAAGTTGTTTGCTCCTGCTGCAGGGGGGGAGGGTATGGTCAGATCTCACCCAAACACATAGATCAATCTAAACCTTCATCAAATACCTTGCGGAGGATACAATTTTCAATCTCTAGAACTATCACTAATATCGTTTACCTGCACCTAAACCCAGGAGCCAGCATCATCAGTTTCAGTCTTAACTATTCTTATCTTACCTCAATACTTCTAATCGTTAATAGGTACATTAGACACTAGCTTCTAGGATAATGGTCAGGAGGGGGGGGGGGGGATAACGATAAAGCCACAGACTATATTTTAATTAACGCTTTTTGCAGGGTTTGATGGCTATAATTGTGAGAAGAATATCGATGATTGTTCCGGTCATCTTTGTCAGCACGGAGCAACCTGCGTGGACGGAGTTAATACCTACTCCTGCAGATGCACAGACAGTTGGCAAGGACAGTACTGCAGCAAGGACGTGGACGAGTGTGCTTACTCCAATCCCTGCCAGAACCATGGAACCTGTCAGAATACTGAAGGTGGATACGAGTGTATCTGTGTGAACGGATATATCGGGAAGAACTGTGAGACAAACAAGGATGACTGTGCCGAGGGAAACTGTTTATACGGAGGAACCTGCCATGATAGAGTTGGAGGATTCTTCTGTGAATGTCCTCCTGGTAAGACGGGGCTGCTCTGTCACCTAGAGGACGCCTGCTCCAGTAACCCCTGCAACCCCGGAGCTAGATGTGACACGAACCCTGTCTCAGGAGCGTATACGTGTAACTGTCCCCCAGGTTTCAACGGAACAGATTGTGCTCAAGATATCAATGAATGCAACGGAGGTAAATGGAATGTTTTGAATTTTTAAGTATTTGTTAATTTTATCTTTATTCTTCATGTGTCAATTCTGACAAGTTTATCAGGATTGTCAAGTGTTCACTCTTCAATCATCTATTGTTTCAGGGTCTCCTTGTGAACACGGAGGAGTTTGTGTAAATACTCCTGGATCATTTAAGTGTAAATGTAAACAGGTAAATATTACGTACATCAACAAGATTACCAACCAACCACTTCAGTCTACAATTAGTCCAAAATTTCAAACAATAACAGAACTACAGCTATATACTTACAAATAATTTCATTGTTTTTCTTTTGACCCAAATATTAAGTTTTAAAAACTAAGAAAGATAAAGTTCTTTCTAAAAAATAAGAAAAACATTTCACGACGCCGGTTATGTCAGATCTATCTTACATTATTGCACTTCACAGTGCACAGTAGTTCAGGTTGTAATCTAAAACACGTACGATTGTATATAAAGAGTAAATAAATGTTTAGGGTTTCTCCGGACCCCGATGTGAGACGAATGTAAACGAATGCGAGAGTAATCCCTGTCGGAACAAGGGAACCTGTATAGATGAGAGAGGAGGATATCGATGTATCTGTATGCCAGGTTAGTTCTAGACCAGGATACTTGTCCTTCCCTCTCCAGTCATGTTGTTTAGCTGAATTTAAGATTGGGTGGATAGAAGGAAAACTAAATATTGTTTACGAGAAATGTGACACGTTCTTCACCCCCCTCCCCTCTCACTCCAGGGGCCCAGGGAGGAGGGAGATTAATGCACTCAGCGTTGGTCTAGTTGGTATTCAGAACATTTCAGCGCAATTTTTCTTAACTTCAATTATGTCTCTTTTTGCGCCCAATTCATAGCTTTGCTTTTTCCTCTCAATATGTTTCAAATCATGTGCAGAGTGCAGAGTGCAAGTCATACTGGAGATCAAAGATTGGAGTCAATTCATGAAATGTTCAATCATCCCATGTTCTTATGTTCTATAGTACGTCTGCTATGGATTGACGGCTTTTTATTGTAGACCCCATGTAAATGGCAATGTTACTAAATAGATGAATTTCAATTTTGGAGGTCTTTAAAAATATTTCTAGTTTTTTTTCCCCTTTCGGAATAACCCTGAAATCATATATTCAGATATTGAGATGCTTTTAAACAGTGAATTCAAAACTTGAACTTGTCGTAAAAAATGAATTGATTTATCAGAAATTAAGGCCAATTTTGTTTAATGCTGATGCTATGGTTAGGATCATAAAAGGGAGGGGGATAGGGTTGAAGAAAAGGGGGGGGCATCATGAGGCAGGTTTTGCCTTGTCAGTGTGACCTGTAACTGTCCAGGCCAGGTTAACTTATACAATATATATATATATGCAATGCTTTGTAACTCCGGCAACCTTTTACCACGTCTGGCTCATCATATATTTATATTTGAGTTTAAATCTTTTAATTTATAAATATTTTGGGATTTATCCGAGTAATCTATGATGAACTAATTAACGAAGATTTATTGTAAAAAGATGGTAGATTAAAGGTTGACGATGTTCTAGGAACACCGACAATATTTGTATTGGTAGGGGGTGGAGGAGGGGAAGGGTGTAGGGACCGGCGAGGGGGGGGGGTTTAGGGTACTCCACATAGTTTTAGCTCGTTCCCACACTCTGCAAAATCAGGGTTCGCTCGAAATTTTTTTCTTTAAATTTTGTTTCTTTCCTATTTTTTTTAATATCTAACCTTAGAAAATTTAGAAGAAATAAAAATGTTTAATAATAATACTGCAGCGAACCCTGATGGCTTGGTTCAGTATAACTGGCTGCCACTCTTAAAGCTCTGGGCTCCCCCTCCCCTGCCACTCTTCACCAACCCCCTTTATCCTTCTTGCTGCATCTATTATCCCCCCCCCCTCCCAACACCTGGGCGCCATCAGGAATAAAAAAAACAAATTGAGGACATCTGTGTCAGCATTTTTCATAAAAAACAGTTTTTAGATTTTAAGTTAATTTTTAGTTTTTTTTTGCTGTTATATTTTGATATAATTTTTTCGTGGTGGTCTTACACGGAGGAAGAGGAGGGGGTTGAGTTAAAAAGAAAGAAATTGGTTTGACTTCCATTATACTTTGAACCTTAAATATAGAAAATTACCAAATTTAATTTTCCAACCTATTATTTTGCTGGGAACGGGAGATTTTTAAAATCACAAAGATTAAACACTGAAGGTTGGGAGAGGGGGGGGGGGTAGTTCCATTAGCTTCACAATCTCTTTAAATATTATGTAATATGTAAAGGACGTTATACTATCTGTTATCTGATATTTTAAAGAAAATTTGACTGATAATATATTTAAAATAAGAATTTTGCTGATTTTGTCACAAGTTCTTAATATTCGAATTTTATTATTTTTACAGTGATAAGCTGTATAAATATTTCATTGATAAGACAAACTAAAAACTATTAAATGTTTAGGATTTGAAGGGGAGAACTGTGAAGTTGATTATGACGAATGCAGTCCGAACCCATGCAAGAACAACGGCTACTGTACGGACGGAATCAACGGATATCATTGCACCTGTATCAATGGGTTCGGTGGAACTAATTGTGAAACGAATATTGATGATTGTTCTAGCAATCCTTGCTACAACGGAGGAACATGCCGGGACTCATTCAACAGCTTCACGTGTGAGTGCTCTACCGCCTTCACGGGGACAAGGTGTGAGATCAACAGAGATGACTGTGCTGCTAATCTGTGTATGCATGGAACCTGCATCGACGGTATCAATGATTTCACGTGTAAGTGTGATCCTGGGTTTGCAGGACGCTTGTGTGAGCGTAAGATTGATCTGTGCGTGTACAATCCTTGTCAGCATGGCGGGGTATGCGAGGAAACAGAAACCGGATACAAGGTAGGTTTTCTAATCAAATTAACATTGTCTGCTTTGATTTTGTTATTGGCGCAGAACTAAAATTTTTTAATGATTAGTCTGAAAACATTTTAATGTGCACTAAACACTATTTTCTCACGTTCATAAATCTTAATATTTGTTTGAATTGTTTTGGTTTGGATTTATTGTATTTTCTGCTGATCCATGATGATGAAAAGCACTCCCCCCCCCCTCCCCCCTACCTACGTATCACCTTTCCTTTTGAATCAGTAAATCAAAGGACTTTGAAGTTGAATATTAATCTTTATTTTTTCAGTGCCATTGTTCTCCTGGAACCTACGGTACCAAGTGTGAGGTTAATGTCAACGAGTGCTCCTCCAACCCTTGTCTTAACAAGGGCAAGTGCTTGGACGAGATCAATGGTTTCAAGTGTCAGTGCCCACCTGGATACAGGGGAAGACTTTGCGAGGAAGATATTAATGAGTGTCTGAGTCAGCCCTGTCTAAACGGAGGAGAGTGTACAGATATCATTAATGATTTTGTATGCCGCTGTCCCCACGGTTGGTATGGAAAAAGATGTCAAACCGACGTAGATGAATGCAGACATCGTCCCTGTACAAACGGCGGAACGTGTGAGAATGAAGTATCCAGGTTTATATGCCACTGTCCACCTGGATATGAAGGTTCAACCTGCCAGAAGGAGATAAACGAGTGTGATGCGAACCCATGCCAACACGGAGGAACCTGCTCCGACCTACTAGGAGGATACAAGTGTACCTGTCCGTCTGGTTTCTCAGGAATCAACTGTGAGGAGAATATTAATGACTGTATGAACAATCCCTGCAAGAACGGAGGAAACTGTATTGATAATATCAACGGATTCAAATGTATTTGTGAGCCTCCATTTACTGGGAGCACTTGTGAAGTAGAAATGGATCCCTGTGCTTCAAATCCTTGCGCCAATGGAGCCATCTGCAGTCCTTACAGTAACTACAGAGATTTCACCTGCTCCTGTAATATTGGATTCACAGGACGGTTTTGTGAGGAAGATATAGATGAGTGTGCAACTTCTTCTCCGTGTAGAAACGGGGCAAGCTGTCACAACACTAATGGGAGTTACACGTGTATGTGCAAGAAAGGGTTCGAAGGAAGGGATTGCCTCGTTAACACGGATGATTGTTCAGACTCTCCCTGTCTGAATGGAGGAACGTGTCTTGATAAAACTGCCGACTATAGTTGTCTTTGTGTCCCGGGTTTCATTGGGAAGAATTGTCAGCAAGATAAGAATGATTGTTCTCCTAACCCTTGTAAGAATGGAGCTAAATGTACAGACTATGTTGACTCTTTTGTTTGTACGTGTCCACTTGGATTCAGCGGAGAGCTGTGTGAAACTAATGATGAAGACTGTACTGGTAGTTCATGTATGAACGGGGGAACTTGTCAGGATGGTATCAACAACTACACCTGTCATTGTCCAGAGGGTTTCACAGGATCCAACTGCCAGAGTAGAATAAACTCTTGTGATAAGAACCCCTGCAAGAACGGAGCAACCTGTGAAAACGTAAACGGATATCACAAATGTCACTGTAAGGTTGGATTTACAGGTTCCAACTGTGATCAGCTAGTAGATTGGTGCTCTAACAACCCTTGTGAAAATGGAGGACAGTGTAAGCAGCATGGAGCCAGCTATCACTGTTCCTGTTCTAGTGGTTGGACCGGGAAATTGTGTGATGTTAAGATGGTTTCTTGTGAAATTGCCGCAAACTACAGAGGAACTCCGGTCTCAGGTCTCTGTGAAAATGGAGGTCGTTGTCGAAACATTGGAACCTCGCACACTTGTGACTGTAAGGACGGATATTGGGGATCCTACTGCCAGAACGAATCCAATGCATGCTCTTCAAACCCCTGTTATAATGGAGCAACCTGTAACAACCTGAAAACGGATTTCAGTTGCACATGTGCTCCTGGTTTTATGGGATCACAGTGTGAGCATGATATCAATGATTGTCAACCCAACCCCTGCAGAAACGGAGGAGCTTGCAATGATTTAATCAATGGTTTCTCCTGCTCTTGTCCTCCTGGAACCAATGGTAAACTCTGCGAGATCAATGTAGATGAATGCTATGACGGAGCTTGCCACAACAATGGAGTTTGTCTGGACCGTGTAGGAGGGTTTGAATGTAAGTGTAGGCCAGGATACACAGGATCACGTTGTGAGGGAGATATCAACGAATGTTTGTCTAAACCCTGTTATGAATATGGAACTGCAGATTGTAGCCAACTCATCAATGATTACAAATGCAACTGTAAGCCCGGCTGGATGGGGAAACATTGTGAATCTCAGCAAAATTTCTGTTCTAACAATCCTTGTATGAGTGGAGGAGTATGTACCAGCACTCACTACGGTCATATTTGTGCTTGTCCAACTGGGTTCAGCGGAGCAAACTGTGAGTTTGAGGGAGATAGTTGCCAAATCAATCCTTGCAACAATGGAGGATCTTGTGTCCCTACTGTCTCTGGGTATAGATGTGAATGTAATGCAGGAACTACAGGACCGAACTGTGAGACTGACAACAGGAACGAGTGCATGTACAACAGATGTCAGAACGGAGGCCAGTGTATAGATAGACCTGGAGATTATGCTTGCCGCTGCAAAGAACAATACAGAGGAAAGAATTGTGAGGTTTTTGATAAATCTTCTGATGGCGGTGTTGATATAACTATTGATAGTATTTATGGAAACAATCGGAATATTGATTACGAGGAAGATTTAAGGAGATGTAAACAATATGATTGTCAGAATAAAGCTGGAAATAAAATCTGTGACGAGGTTTGCAACACTCTCGCTTGCTCTTTTGATGATGGCGATTGTAATCTTGGTGTGAACCCCTGGAAACATTGTAATGCTAGCTCTGGTGGTGTCCCCTGTGCAAACTTGTTTAATGATAGTATTTGTCATGAGGAGTGTAATACTGCTGCTTGTCTGTTTGATGGACGGGATTGCGAGGTTGGAGGAGGACAGACACAGTGCAGACCTGAGTATGATGTCTACTGCACCATGAACTACAGGAACGGGAAGTGTGATGAGGGATGTAACACTGGAGCCTGTGGTTGGGACGGAGGAGATTGTGATGATATCACCAGAAGTAAACGGCCGACAGACGGATCTATTTTCTTTGTCCTCAACATGGCTCTAGATAAGTTTCATGATCAGTATAAAACCTTGTTCGAACGTTTCCTGTCTCTGAAGCTGGGAACTAACTTGAAAGTTAAGCACGACGAGAACGGACATGCAATGGTTTATCCGTTCGACCCTAGGGAGATCATTGCAGACCCTAACAGCACAACCTTTGCTACAGGATTAGAGTTTATCTCCGGAGATGGAGACTCAACTATAGTTGTGTATATGGAGGTTGATAATGTTAACTGCGAGGAGCATTGTTTCTCTACTACCGAAGAAGTCACTAATTACATTGCTGCTGCCTATGCTGATGAACTGAGAAAGGACTGGGGAGTAATTCAGATCGGAGAAACCAAGACTGTCAATGGAGAAAGCACCAGTCCTGTCGGAGTAATTGTTGGGATTCTTGTAATTGCTCTGGTATTGGTTACACTTGGAGTAGTTGTTTCTACTAATAAGAGGAAAAGTAAGGGAATAACCTGGTTTCCTGAAGGATTTCTGGCTCATGCTCCCCAACGTCCTGGTCATAGAAAAGCTCCAGATGGACAAGAAATGTTTGGTATGCCACCTTCAAAGCATCCGTCCCAGTTTGACATTGATAGGATCGGCTATATTCATGACGGATGGTCGGATGATGATCCAAATGAGAGACCTGCTAAGAGGAACAGAAGAGATCCATCCTCCTCCTCTGGTCAAACCAATATGTCTGATTTTGACGATGCTGATCAACGCCAATGGACTGCTCAGCACATGAACGCTGCTGATGTGAAGAACCCGGATATTCTTGGAGCTCTAACTCCACCTCAAGCCGAGGTGATCATGAATGAAAGGATGACGAATGATATCGATGTTCGAGGACCTTGTGGACTTACGCCTCTGATGTTGGCCTCATTCCGTGGAGGAGGCCTAGACAGTGGAGATATAAATGAAGATGAAGACGGAGAAGTAAATGCTGTTCTCCAGGACCTGATTGCACAAGGAGCCAATATCTCAATTCAGATGGACAAAACTGGAGAAACCCCTCTCCATCTAGCGGCAAGATATGCAAGAGCTGATGCTGCCAAGAAGCTTCTAGATGCTAAAGCTGATGCTAATGCTCCCGATAACACTGGCCGAACTCCTCTTCACGCTGCTGTAGCTGCTGATGCTCAAGGTGTATTTCAGATCCTTCTCAGACATAGAGCAACAAATCTTGATGCTAAAACTTATGATGGAACAACTCCATTAATCCTGGCGGCTAGGTTGGCAATTGAAGGTGTTGTAGAGGAACTGATCCAATCAGATGCTGATATTAACGCTAGTGATGAGAATGGAAAATCTGCATTGCACTGGGCTGCTAGTGTAAATAACGTAGATGCTGTTAACACACTTCTTGCTCATGGTGCCAATAGAGACGCTCAGGATCATAAAGATGAAACTCCACTGTTCTTGGCTTGCAGAGAAGGAAGCTACCAGGCTGCTAAAGCTCTTCTTGATCATTGTGCAAATAGAGATATAACAGATCACATGGATCGGTTACCTAGAGATATTGCTCAGGAACGATTACATCATGATATTGTCCGTCTTCTTGAAGAACATATTCCTCCAGCTCCTCAACCACAAATATCTCAACCCGTCCTTCCTCCCAACCTCTCCAATGACAGCCATCAAATGACTCCAAACAAACCAAAACCTAAGAAGCGATCAAAGACGATAGAAGGATCTCCAATGGAAGGAGGAATGCATTCTCCACCCTCAATGAACATGCATATGAACGGAATGTTGACTCTTCCTAAGAACCGAAGACCAAGTGTAAAGAGAAAGAAGCCTGATGATATGATGATGCTTTCTCCTGAGGGAGATCATTCTCATTTTGACACCATGTATGGACATTCAATGCAGATGCATCATCAGGAAATGATGATGCTGGCACAAAAACAACCTCCTAGTTATGATGATACAATGAGTGGAAAGATGAATCCCCATCATCAATCCATGGCAGGGCTTTCAATAAATGGTCATCAGCCTGAATCTCAATTCTTTCCAATGCATCCCAGGCAGCAGTCAATTCCTGCCAGTATGACATTCACCCACATGTCTCCACAGAATCCCCAAACCCTCTCCCCTCCTCATCATTCAATGATGTCTCCGCCTCAGTCCGTTCAATCAACTCATTCTCTCTCTCCTCCCGTCCTTACATCATCTCCTCAGACAATGCAGCACCAATCCTCTCCCAATAAATCCCGTGGCATGATGCTTCCCACATCTCCGACTCATCTTGCAGCCATGCGGGGCGCTTCTCATCAGAGACATCAATCCTTCGACTTCCCCGAGAACGCAGGTCCTGTGATGAACCAAATGGGAGGATACTATCCATATCCTACTCCTCCTCAGAACGGAGAGAACGGAAACTTCATGACTCCGTCTCCAGAGTCTCCTAGCCAATGGAGCACGAACTCCCCACAAAGTCACTCCGACTGGAGTGATGGCAATATTCATTCTCCACCTAATTTTCAGCAACAGCAGCAGCAATATAAACCTCAGGAAGCTGTTTATATATAATCAATTCTGAACTCTACGAGTATAAAAATATCCTTGCAAGAAGTGACATGAACGCTCTATAAAAACTTGTGAAAATTTATCATTATGCGAATTTTTAGGAACGTATAGTACGAATGATTATTAAGATCTCAAAACAAGTAACCCTGGTTTCAGTTCGTTTCTTATTATTTATATAGTCAGAACCTGTTAATTGGTAGAGGACCTGAACTTTGTCAGGAAGTCTTCCACATCTATTTTGTTGTTAAAGCATATGATGTAGATATAAATAAATATAAATTGTTTATCAACAAGGCTTTATATATATATAATACGAGGATCATATTTGTGGTTTTACATCATTTTAATAATTATGTTCTTTTTTAAGCAATTTTTATAAATTTTTTCCTCTTCGGTCTTTTTCAGATAAAAAATCTAAATGAGATATGATACAGTTAATGTTAAGAAAATATCTTTATAATATTGTTCACTTTGCAACAAATTGATATTGTTTAAACAGAAATAACTGAATTACAGTATATATTCTTAATTATTTGTTCTTAGTCGAAAAAAGCTTAAGATCGGTTGTTTAGATTTAACTTTTTTTAAATATTTTTTTGTGCTTTTAATTAAACTCCAATGTTATTAAATATTTTATTTAGTGTGATGATATTTAACCAGAAAATTTGTCCCTAGTGAGAGTATTCAAATGATTTCATTTTAATTGTTTTGTTAACTCGGTTCAGACGATCCTAGAAGAATTAAAATGTTAAAACATGGTTACGCCTGCTCAAACCCGAAGGAGGAGAGGAGTATGGCTGGATCTGGAGGGGATGAGGATCTGAGGAGACACGAGAATTATGAAGACGAGTATATAGAGCAAGGAAGAGGAAGCAGGAGTAAAATGACTTACAGATATGAGGATTCATCAACAACGTCTACAGGATCATGGTATAATTTAACAATAATGAGAAACAGTAGAGAAAAATGGTCATGAAATTAGTACGAGCAAAATAAAGTTTTCTTTCAAAGTTCTATTTTTCCAAAAAAATTAAATGTTTGTCCAAAAGTCTCATTTCTTTTAAACTCAACTGATGAACTGTCGTGGGGAGAAATTTGAAAGCGACTTATTCTACATTTAAGAATAATTTTCTCGAGAGCGAGTCAAGACAACTAAGTTTCAAAAACCATAATGTCAGTTTATAATATCTAATTCTAATATTTTTCTGCTGCCGTTCTATTTCACGGAGAACTAAATGTCGACCATATTTTTACCATTATTAATATGTTTAATGTTCTAAACCCATCCAATCGGGCCTACCTCTGTCTTGTCTGTATATGGTTAGGATCAACAGCTCGTCACTCACAACCCATAGAATGTTTTGACTGATACCAAGATTTTACAATAGTTTTTGTTTAATGCTCATCATTCAGTTTGCCCAGATTATTGTTTAAAGTTTCAGCTTAAAAACATTTCTTAATTACTCTGGACTGTGAGGCCTGTACTGTTGTTTCTTTCGACTTTGTATATTCTCGTTCAACATATCCATTAAAATATTCTATATTCCCATTTTTAAAACTACATTTACCATATCCCAGAACTTAATTTATAACTACTATTACTAGAAATGTAAACATGTGCATGTGACGTAAAAAAAACTTTCATTAAATCCAATTTATTTAAACTCTATTTATTAGCTGTTCTTTTGTTGCGACAAAAATTTATGAGGTTTTGTAAAAAATAATGAATCTTTCAACAAATATAAGATAGCTATAGATTTTAAAGCGTTTTTAAATTTTTTTTCATATAAGGCTATATATAGCATTTTAAAAAGAAAAAAGAACTTAGCACATCTGCATATATCAAGTTTTGTTCTTATTTAAACTTCATACAGAAATTAAAAATATGACTTAATTACCTATTTTACTTAAACGTAGATAATCTAAAAGTTATGAAATATGACAGATCTATATAGATACATATTTAATTGGATATATGTTCTAATTTTCCAGAAGAAATTCTGAGTAGAAACATTTTTCAAAGTGTCTTTAATACACACTGTAATAACCCACATTTAAGTTAATTTAATATTATATTTTAACTAGGGTTTTATAGGGCGCTTCTCGCCCCCTTTCCTATTAACAATTTTAGCTTTTAACTGTCATATTCGCCATATTTAATCAGTCTCGCGAATTTTCTCAGATTTTTTTTGTTAAAATTGGCGCATTTTCAAAAATAAAAAATTTCAACATTTTTCTGTTAAACATTTTCAGTTTTGATGGCCCATAAAAAATTGGGACCAATCGAATCAGCTGTTTTGATCCTTTTATTAGACACAAAAAAACAGAAAGACAGTAAAGCATATATTTTTTGACTTCGTCTCTTGCATATTTTAAAGCTGTCAGTGTCAAATAAGACAAAGAGCTAATCTGATCTATCTTATTGTTACAGTAGGTCATTGATGGACACTGACGAGGAGATTAGGACAGCAAAGTCAGTTTGGAACAGGTAGAATACAGTTGCAAACTGTAAAGCTACGGAAGATGAAAGGGAAGGGGGGGGGCTAGAGAAGGTAAGGACCTAAATTGTGTATTTAGGACTTACGAGAAGTATGGGTTCAAAGTTGGAGTTTTTAAAGCGTTTGGTTGGGGGAACCGGAACATAATAGTGTTTTGTTTACCACACTATTTTTTGTATTACATTTGAACCCGGTTCACGGCAAATTAGACAGAAACCAAATGTCTATGTTGCTGGTACGACTTTGTGTCCTCGTAGCTCTTCTGGTTGTAATTTCACGCCCAAGTATGAAAAAAGTTGCCCGGTTATACTTTTAAAAATTCAAAAAACTATAAAGCTCTTGTTTTAACTTTGGTACTTAAAAGTATAGTTTTAAAATTTGCCAACAATTTTTGCGTGATTGCTTGTAACCTTTAGATCGCTGTAATTGACGTCTAATGTGTTCCAGGTTTGAGTCGGGTTGAAGATGAGAATGTTGTAATTTAATCTTAAATATTATAGGACTACTGATCCCTGCTCTGATGTATCTCTAGCTAAAGAGAGACTATCAAGGAACACCATATCAAACTTTTTTTTAACCAAATACAGGGTTACCCACAAAGGATGATACTTAAGAGACGACTGTACAGAATCTATTAAACATTATATTGAAAGAGTATCAGGTCGTCATTAAATCTAATTTTTTGAGAGTAACCCTGGTTCCTGCACCTCAGAAAACAGTTAAACAATTTTGTCTCTTTTCTAAATCTTCAATCTCTAGCACCCTAGATCTAGTAGTAGGGGTTTCTCCTAGGTTTAAATTTCTGGATCAGTTGTAGAGTAAAGTTGACAAATTCAGAATTTTGGGATGTTTTCATCGTGATTTGCATTTTATGAGAATTTGCAGTTTTTACTACTCATCATATATGTAGACAAGCTAGTGATCACTTCTTTATACGCATTTTCAATTCTGTGACTTATCCCGATTGCCCTTTATAACTGAATAGTTGGAATTTTTACTTATTTTCAATACCCTTAGATTCTTAATATAGCAGTATAACTATTCGTCAAGTTAACGATTAAATTTTGGAACAAACAAAAATTTACATCTAAAATTTTTAATTTTTGTACATTTCAACAAATTAAAGTAAACATGGAATTAAAAGAAGACAGAAACCAACTCCAGTAGTTCCTATGCCAACAGGGTCCTCAGGAATGGATAGTGATCTTTCTTTATATTTAAACCTGCCTTCAACAAACTCCGTAACTGGATAAAGATTTATTTAAGTCTTACTATTGCTCGTATTTAGTTATTAATTCACTTCCCTTTGTAAATAAGTTGCTAAAGACGAGAAGACGAAGGAAGCCGTAATTCTGCCGAAAAGATCTGAGGTATAATAATTGATGTGCATTCAGGTGGTTCGTTTTTAGCCTATATTTTCTTTCAGGATTAAAATTTTGCATAGAGTTCCAAGAACATTTTTTTCTACATTGTTAATTCTAAACATCTACTTTTCTTACACTAAGTCAAATTTCAACTTTGATGGAAAATATTTGCAAAAACGAACCTGTTGTAACAACCTTTTTTAAATGGTTTTTTTAGGATATCGAAATTGTAAAGTTTAGAAAAACAAACTTTAATATATTACAGTTTTATAATTTTTTTAACACGATCTAACATCTTTTTTAGAATTTTGTTTTTGCTGCAGGGTGTCCCACATCATATTGGATCGTGTTGTTATTATGATTTATTAGCTTTAAATTGCAATTTCCGATATTTATCAGAATTTAAAATGAACGAATCATTTTAAAAAATGTATATGCTCTTTAAAGAAAGCAAAGGTTTTTACAAGGTTTTTAGAATGAGGATTTTTAAAAACAAAGAAAAGAGCTACATCATAAAAAGTAGTTATCAATTAAATAAATCAGAGGGACTGTAGACGTTATTTTAACTGACTCCATTTATGGAGTAGCATGTCAGATTCACAGTGGTATCCTTAAAAGCTTTGTCTGATCTTTAATATTAAATATTAAAATAAGAGTAAATGCATGATATATCAATTATCTCTTTCTTTAAGAGTTAATTATTTTTTATTATTATTCTCTCTTTAAAGTATCTTGGGCATTTCTGCCTTAGAAACAATATTTAGGATTTTTTCAGAATTAAACACTTTCTAATTTAGAAATATGAGATATCTTCCATGTTATTGATCATATGAAGTCTGAAGGTTTAAAGAGTACAGTTGTGAATCGGGGAAGACCCTCTTTAACTGCAAGTTCAAGAACAGTTCCATTCTTTTTCAGCTTCAATGTTTATATTTTATCTTATAAATTAGCTGACTTTGTAATAATTATTCAAAACACTGTTATTTTGGTTCACAGTGTTATCAAGTTTTTGGACAGAGATTTTCTCTTTATCGAGAAGGTTCAAGCCTTTTTAGATTTAATTTTGTCCCGAGGTTTAGCGAGGGACAAAATATGATCTAAAAATACAATCTTTAATGTTACTTTATAGCATGTTCATCATGAAATTCACGATGAAGTAAGTAACAAAGATAAAGTACACAGTAGTTTTATAAAATATTAAATCAATTTTACATTCTGATTTTTAGATATTCAACAAATATCAGTGAACATTTTGAGCCTGAACCTGGTTTTGATTACTTTGACTTCAATTGAAAGTCATAGGTTACGGACACTAAGATACAAGTTCCTCTAATAGAGAATATTTAGGTTACGGACACTAAGATACTAGTTCCTCTAATAGAGAATATTTAGGTTACGGACACTAAGANCAAGTTCCTCTAATGCAGAACAAGGACTACATTAGCTCTACATTTTCAAACAGGTCGGAGAAGAAATTTATTTTATTGTGTACATTTTTTCACGTTGAAATGTGTTGTGAAATATTATGAAGATTAAATTTCAACATGAACTTAAACCTCAAATAACAAAACTATTTGCGTAAGTGAAGGTTCAAAATTTTACTTTTTGGAACCTAATCTAATTTTTACATCACAAAAGTAATTTTATAAACTAAGCTCATAGGAGAGATTAAACTTGCTTTTGAAATCAAAGATTTGAGCTTAAAATTCTACACCCATATAAAATTTAAGATTATGGGTTGACTTTATTTGAGATTATTCTTTATGTTCACATTTATCCAGGAAGTACATGATGATGATGTTCTCTGTAATTCTCCTCTGCTTCATTCTCTACTTCGTGTCCCTTTACTACACCATCAAGGCGGCGAACAACACCGACCTGCTGACACAGCTAGTCAGGGATATCAAGATGATTCAGCTTGCTTTCAACAATACCAGGAGAACTTAATTACGGGAGCCGATAAATTCATCTTCAGCAATATTCCGAACCAATACTGTTAAATGTTTGAGTCTCCGCTAAGACATAAAAAAGTGTCAACACTATTTTGATATGTTTCATATGTTTCGACAATTTTAATGTTCATCTATTTGCTTGCTGTGTTGCTGTAAATGGTTGAATCCTATCAATCGTAATTCAAAATTAATCAATTTTTGTGTATTGTGTACCTACTATTTAGTTCAAAATAACAATATATTTTTAATCAGTTTTAACAAAATTGGAAAAGAGCAGTGAATTTTTCTGACTGTTTTTTTTTATCTGATCATCATACATCTGATTTCTGATCTTCACTTTCAAATCTACGCATTTTAATCTCTTGTAGACAAGGGAAAAATACATTTAGACAGATATTTCTGATTCATACAAATGTTTAATCTAATATCTTGGCGCCAGAAATATCAAATTAAGTTTAATAGAAAGTTACTGTTTGTGAGGAGAAGATATTAAATGAATTTGCAGTTTTAAATATTGTTTTCTGATCTATGGAATGTCTAATTCAGCAATATTCTTGCAGGTTGAAAGAAAAGCCACTGCACCAAGCAGGGTTTGATAATTCTGAGGATATTCATTGTGTCAGAATTCCGCCTTAATAATTAGAAATAGGATTAGAAAGGTTAGGAAAGGAGTGGAAATTTTCGACCAAAAACTCTTGATTCCTGTAAGTTCTTCTCGGAAACAGTGCTTCAGAATACGGCCTTGTCTTCATTAATCTTTTCCTTGCAGCCGGCAGAGTATAAACCGGTATCATAGTGCATGGTGCACACTGTGCAACCTATCAGGATTCTACTTTCTATGTTTCCATTTTCCTTGTTTCTGGCAAGAGGGAAGCGGAAGAGAGAAACCGCCAACCCCCCCTTCTCTGCACTATTATTTTCTTTTTTCCAAGTACTGTCATGTAATTCCACACAGGGTTCTGTTCAGCCCCAAGAATCTGGATAGAGTTGTATAAAAACCTGACTGTTCTGAGCTCCCTTGATGCTTACACATAGAACCAGATTTAATCGAAAGAATTAACGTCTTTCCGACGAGTTCTGACGAGCTAACAAGGATTGTCATTAAAGAGTATATTTTAAGCTGCCAATAGCAAAATCTAAATTCAGCTAGGCTTCCATTCTCCCGGTTAATACAGCGATAAAAAAATTAATGCAGGCTTTAATGTTTCTTGTAGTTCAATTTATTTTTATTCCGTTTGTGTGCAGGGGTGTGTGTGTTAGTATGAAAAGCCTCCTTTTTGTAAAAAATCATGTATATCTTATTAAAAGTTAGTCTAAAAGGATGTGAAAAGCATATTTTCACTTTTATTATCTAGTATTTTGAACCCAAAAGTAAATGAAGATATTATACAAAAAATTTTCAATGACCTTTTTTTCCTAAAACTTTACTATGTGTGTCTTCATATTTTTGTGATATTAAATTGGTCTGTATTAACTGAAAAATATCTATAAATATCATGTGTATGTATAAGTCAATTCCTTGAATGAAGGATACATAATATCAAAATGCCAAAGTTAAACTGTGTGTCTTGAAATTTGTATTTACAAGGATTTGAGATTATTCTATATATATCATGTATGTGTGTAACTCACATCCTTGAAAGAAGGATATGAGATTTGAAAACGCCAAAATTAAACTGTGTGTCTTAAATTTTCTGTTTAAAAGGATATGAGATCAGTCTATATATATCATGTGTATGTGTAACTCACATCCTTGAAAGAAGGATATGAGATTTGAAAATGCCAAAATTAAACTGTGTGTCTTAAATTTTCTATTTGCAAGGATATGAGATGAGGATATGAGACAGGTTTCATTAACTGATTTTTGGATATTGAGTAGATTTAGGTTTAAAAGCTAGTTGTCCTGTGATCCTACATGCTAAAATGGCAATGCAATTGATACACTTGATGTGATCAATAATGTAGAACATGTAGTCGAATTGTTAGCTCCAGGTTCTGTTCAGGTTCTTTTTAGGTTCTCTCCAGGTTCTTTTCAGGTTCTCTGCAAGTTGTCTTCTTATTGAAATTTAAAGAAGCACTTTTAGGAAAAATTATTTTTATGTAAGCTTACGAACTCACCAGACTTTCTTTAAATAACTTATTCTACGACTTAATTATAAAAGCTTTCGAACTCACTACTTTCTTCAAAGAAATTGAGTTTTTGCCACTAACTCTAATTTTCTTATCTCTAAAACTTTGAAACCCAATGTCGTAGACCTTCAATATTTAAAACTCTGAACTCCATTTATCATATAATTTAATATTAATTTGATCGTTATTCCGACAGGAATTTACAGTAGTATACACAGGGGGAACTGTCCTTTCTCCCCCCCCCAGGATCAACCCAGATTCCAAAATGTTAAAGGAAAATTTCTGGGTATCTCCAACCAAACCTGGCCCTGATATTCTGTGAAACCGTGTCTACTGTCAAAATGTGATGAGATTTGGAAGAAAAGTGTCAGGAATAAAAGAAACATTGTACAGCGGTCATTAATTATTTTCAATTCAGATCCGTAATAAAACTAGGTTTAGGTTCGAATTTACTCTATCATGATAACAGGAGGAGAACCTAAGAAGAACCTGAAGAGAACCTGAGAAGAACCTGGAGATATTCTGATGATAACATGACAGGAACCTGGAGAGAAATCTGGAAATACATGTAGAGAAACTGTAGAGAACCTGGAGAGAAACTGGAGAGAACTGTGAGAGATCATGGAAAGAACCTAAAGAGAACCAGGAAGAACTTAAAAAGAACCTAGAACGATGTTAACTAAAAAGATTTTTCAAAGGTTTTACCAAATCGGGTTTTATAACAAACGTATTGAAAAAACGTTTTGTTGATTATAATTTGAAATGAAAGCCAAATATATCATGCCTTAAACTGGCCTCAAAATGATGAACATCACTGATGATTAAAAAGTAAAAATTAAGAATCTTGAGGTTCCTATACATCTTAATATATATATTAATATAATAACATATTTAGCTTGTCTTTGTTTATTTGACTATATCCAATAAACATCAAAACAGCTGCAGACCTGACCCGAGCGAGAACAATTTTTTGTGGCAACTAACATGTTGAAAATTTTGCACGAAAAAGAATGTCAAAACTTGATATTTAAAAAAAACACCAATTCAAACAGGAATATATATATATATATATCTGCAAACTAACTAAGAGAAGAAGCTCAAATTCAATTTACATTACTATTACTTCTTTGTGACCCCGTTGCTCCTCTATGTCTAATTTTACACAAAGCAAAGAAAAGCAAATTTATTCAGATAAATCTTATAAATTCAAAACACTTCGGTTCTTCTCAATATCTCTTAAATAAAAGGATTCATGATAAGAAGCATTTACGATTTCAATGTTATGTGCATTTTACTTTAGTTTGACGTGATATAACTAGCTTGGTAACCCAGCTTTGCCCAGTTCACTTATAGTAACTCCAGCCGTTTATCCGCACTAGTTTATTTTACCGGGAAACTAAATTTTTTAAATAAAATCGACCCACTCAACTTAAAAGCTCAAAACTAAAATTAAGAACATTCCCGTGGTTCTCTCGAGATTTGAGGCAAATACGTCCAAAAGGTTCATGAGTTATGATTGGCCAAACAAACCAACAGACAGACACCTATTCCCATGTTCAAGGTTACCAGGAACAGTTGTGTCCTGATAGCCTGTCGCTGTATACGAACTAAGGAACTAATGATTGTATCCTTATGAAATTTTAGAAATCTGTGTTTTAAAACTTCACAAATCCATAAATAAATTTTTGGGTTCATACATCGTTTTTTGAAGGTGTCCTTATAACCCTCGTCTGAATGAGTTTTCGCTGTCAGGACCACTTTTCTCGGCTGTCAGGACCGTTTTTCGTAAAATTTGCGCTGTCAGGACAATAAAATTTTTGTAATGGAGGTTATCAGGACCTTTATATTTTAGTGTTGCATCGAAATATTTTGGTTTTCGAAATTACAACAAAGTCCTGGTAAGCTACTGTTTCAAATAAAACGTATAATATCCTATCCATCCTATCCATCCCATCCATCCTATAGATCCTATCCTATCCATCTAATCATCTAACCCATCTAATCCATCCTATCCATCCTTTCATTAAAATCCATCTAATCCATCCTATCTATTCTATCCATCCTATCCATCCTATAAATCCTATCCATCCTATCAATCCTATCCATCTAATCCATCCTATCTATTCTATCCATCTTTTCCATTCTATCCATCCTAACCATCCAATCCATCCTATCAATCCTATTCATCCTATCCATCCTATCCAACCTATCCATCCTATCCATCCTATCCATCCTATCCATCCTATCCATCCTATCCAACCTATCTTTCTAATCATTAAGAGACTGTTATTTTTATGATATCTATCTTGCCACAATAATTAAAAATGATTATGTAATAATAAACATGAAAAGGGAACGTTTATTCAGTTATTTTGCATAAAATACAAGGTTCTCCCATTATTCCGTCTACAGTTTTAAAAAGAAATGAGTTTTTATTACAAATTCATATTTTCTAACCACTTTATCTTTACAAATTATTGTAGACATTTGATATTTCAAACTATAATTTCTGTCAGATTAAATAATCTAAGTTTGAATAATCATAGGTTTACACCTTTAAGCTTCAAAGATATAGGAATTAGAAAATTCATAATTGTGACAAAAGCTCATTACTTTAGTTTCGATGTGATTTACTATTGATATGGGCGGGACGCTCTGTTAAAGGAAAATTTGAAAATAGCTTATTTGCAAACTTCTTCGGACATTTTAATTTTTTTAAAAACAATTTTTTAATAAATTAAATGAAAAAATCATGGCCTCACTTCAGTGTTTGTCCCATATCTTAAAAATCCTTATATTTAATATTTTTTTCATTGAAAAGAATTCAGTTTTTGCCGCAAACTGAATTTTCTTGTCCATATATCTTTGTAACCTAATAATGAAAAACTTTGATATTTCAACCTGTACTATCCATCCTTCTATAATTTCTACTTTTTAACCTGAATCCGTCATATTCCTTCTACTCTTCTCCCTAATCCTAAACCCTTCTTTCCTATTCATTCTTCTCTTCACTTAACTCTGAACCCGTTCTATCCATCCTTCTCTTCTCTTTAACTTGAACCCGTCCTATTCATTCTTCTCTTCTCCCTAACCCTAAACCCTTCCTATTCATCCTTCAACTCT